ATCTTTGAAGGCCTAGTAGCAGCATTCATGTTGATATTCGGAATCAGCATCGTCGACTACCTATAGTCCACTCGGTTTCGTTGAAAAAGCGATTTATCAGTTGGGGTACTTCCCGCGTTAGTTTCAAGTTTAGGGAACGAAAATTAGGGTCTTCAAGCTATTTTCACCTAATATTAAAAATTCACTATTCATCCAAGAAACACCAGAACGAGCTCGAAACTTCAGAATATGATTACTTTTGTCCACTAAACATGGTTATAAGATCAAAAAAATCAAAAACACATCGATCTATGAAATAATGAAACTTTCAGAACACGTCTACTATGGTGTTCGTTTCGAAGAAAAAATACTGAGTTTGGTATTCTAAAAATATATATAGTGACCTAGGCGTGCAAACGCTGCTAAGTGTACACTGATATCTTCTTTATACATTGGCACAAGTCTCAGACCTCCATGTGCCATGGTTCAGGAATTGGAGGCATTCTCCGGAAACTCGTCCTCCGGTTAAACTTTAAGCCTGGGAAGCCGAAAAGGCTTGATGTATAGGTTTTCAAGTAAGCTGAATAACGTGACAATGTTTATTTTGTTATGGCACACTATTTCGTAACCGAACCTTTAAGTACCGGCGACGTTAAACTGACAGGGGTTGCGCACTGATGACTGTCGTTCAAAAGTTGTCTGCTAAACTTGGTTATAAGATCAAAAGAATCAAAAAGGCATGTTTTTGTTAATAGCTTTTCCAGAAAACCCTTCAAAAAACGTGGCATTGAAATCTCGACCAGTTACTGTTTTCGTCGAAAAAATGGAATGTTGTAGGAAATAAACAGCAAAAGAAAGGAAAAAACGGTGGATTTTTCTCTTTGTGAGAAACGTGACTCATTGTCAAATTTCTCAGGTGTGGCTAAAAAAGAAAATTTTAACAAAAATTACAGAAATAGGTACATGGAGTAAGACTTTGAGAATAATGGAATNGTGACTCATTGTCAAATTTCTCAGGTGTGGCTAAAAAAGAAAATTTTAACAAAAATTACAGAAATAGGTACATGGAGTAAGACTTTGAGAATAATGGAATGAATCATCATTTATAAGCAGGAAAAAATCCGGGAATTGATTGAGATTATTAGCTATAAAGCCTGACGTGCTGCAGAGACGTGCTGGACAGCAGTCAAACAACGGGTAACGTTAAGCTTTCATGTTGAGTTGATGTGGGTGTTGGTGACTGTTGGCGGCTGTTGGTGGAAGTATTTCCTTCAGGGTACCTTAGGTGTAGGTCCAAGTGGGTGTTGGTGGATGGTGGTGTAGACTTAGCTGACGCGCTCCATCGATCTAGACTGGTCTCGGGCAGTTTGGGAATGTTGGTGGGTGATGGCGTAGTTTACAAATACCCTTCTCGCTCCGTGACCTCATAATTTCCGCATGTCTTAGATGGTTTCAGTGGTCACTACGTAGCACTGTTGAGTTCCTTTTTGCTGAATCTCTCGTGAAAATAACTTGATAATAAATAACTTGATATTTCTCTGATTTTCATGCAGTAAAATGATTAGCGTAGCATAAATTACTGTTATTTATATCAGGAACTGAATACTAATTGAACATTAGACAATTTGAACCAAACTGAATCGAATAAGGATTTGGAGCAAATCGGTCTGCCGTATGGCTTGCTCTGGGTATGGAGTGGGATTACAATTTATGTCTTTTCTCTTTCTCACTCGTACTAGTATTTGCTAGCTGCTTTTTTGTTCGTATGAGTTTAAACCGAGTTTGAGTAAGAACAATTATTGGATAAAAATCGGTTAGCACTAGAAACCGGTTTTTAAATGTGCAAATAAACGATAACAACAATTATTGGATAAAAAATTTGTAAAAATGCTCACTTTTATACTTGAAGATATTTTGATGAAATTTTCCATGTTTTTATTTTTATTTTGCCGGCTGGTGGGTGAAATCGGTTTTGACTGTCGTTAATCTCATATGGTAAATGAGGAGTCGAAGAACAAAAGATACAAATTTGCACCAAAAACTCAATGATCCCAACGCTTACTATATCTCGACAGAAGTGTTATTGCTGACTAGAATAATTCCTCGCGGTTATTTCAGTCAATTGTGAACATCGAAACTGTTTTCGAAAGGCAAAGTTCAACCTACTATCTCCACCGCATGTGTGTAGAGTAATAAGATATCCTTTCTTCAAGTTTCATCTTGATCAAAACCATCACGTGCTCGTCGACCTTTTAATCCTACAGAGACCTTGATCGACCAAAATCAAATGACAGTGTTTTTGTTAGCAATCTAGACTATTCTTTTCCCATATATAATGCGCGAATGAAAGAATAACATATAAAGAAAGAATCCTCTCCAGACTTCACACGTTTAACGTGATAAACACGATTTGTAGTCTACATTATTTTTTATTCCGTTTTACTATAAAATGAAGAGAATTGTGCGTACTTTCTTTGAATCTTATCTTGATCAAAATCATCAGGTGCCGTAATGTTTTGGATTAAAGAATGCTACGAGGTGGGATATCTTCCAAGATGATTGAGTTCAGAATGTGTAACCTCTCTTGTTTTTGAATATTTGGACATCCTTGACTTTTTTGTGGAATGTTTAACTGTCTTTCCTATTTTTTTATGTCTCAGCAGAACGAGCCAGCATGTCTAACATCGTGAAACCATTCTTTGAACAAAATCCATCCTCAGCAAAAGTCATTCCATGTCGTTACGGCATGAATTGTTACAGAATAAATCCGAGTCATTTTGCACGTTTTTCTCATCCACCTGGCTTTACAAGCAAATCAAGAATCGTCGACAATTCCCAAGCGGTAACTGATCCTCAAAATCAACTGAGAAACCAACAACCAGACATTGCAGAAGTACAACCTAAAGATATTGTAAAACTGGTTCGTACAATATTTGCGCCTTCAGAGACTAATAATAAATGCTATGAGCAGCAGTCTATGAAAAAGTTGCATAATTATAAAAACAACAAGTATGAGAACAATAATTATGAGAAAGTAAAAAATAATCGAGAACCACGTGAATTAGGAAAAAAGCGAATATTGGCAATCAGACTTGACACACCTGACTACTGGGGTTTAAATACATTTGATGCACCCCATCTAAAAGTGGATATTCGTCCAGGATCACCAGAATTTGTTAGGATCAGTAGACTGCTCAATACTACAATCGGAACCCATGATAATAAATTTGGAACAATCTATGGAAAAGATCCGACAAAGTTTATCGTCACAAAAATTACCCGAATCCACAATCAGAATCTTTGGCATGCATATTGCTTCAAAAAAGTAAGTGAAAAAAGATATTTGTTACAAACAGAAAAAGAATGATTTGTTTTTCTCACTTCTCTAATACCTGTTTCAAAATACAGCGAACTTCGATGTTTTTTGAATAACTTTTAAAGGACAGTCATCAGCGGGCATAAAGACACGTAAAGTAAATCACTGTCAGTTTAACGTCGCCGGTACTTAAAGGTTCGGTTACGAAATAGTGTGCCATTACAAAATAAACATTGTCACGTTATTCAGCTTACTTGAAAACCTATACATCAACCTTTTCGGCTTCCCAGGCTTACACTCTTCCAAGAATAAAAATTTGTCCTTTCCTTCCACCGGAAATTCAAATTTTTCACTAACTATGGCACTTAGAAATGAAATACCAAAACGATAGAGCGTATGCCGAAACATATGACCCGCTACTCAAATCTTGAAAAAGCGCACTTTCGTTTTTTCATGTAAATATGATGTGGTTGCCCACTTTTTCTTTTCTTCCTAAAAAAATTTCGATTTCAATAGACCAAAAAAGCATTGTAAAATAAGAAAGAAATTCATTTAAACTAATAACTGTATGAAGTGGCGTCTGTTGAAAGGATTCCAACACATTGCGTCACATTCTCAAAGCGAATGAAAAAGCTTGATGGTTTTTATTTCCACTAGGAGACATCAATTTCTTTTTATTTTGAAGAAAAGACCACAAAATGCCATTCAAAGACAAAAGTTCGACTTTTACTAAAGGCTGATCTTCATCCGAAAAGCCCTGAAAAAGACAGACATTGCGAGGAAAAAGCGTTTGAGCCTAAACTGTTTGTTCTCGATTATTTGCAAAATAGATGACGTATTTCTGTAAACGGGCATCAGTTCCATGGAACTGGATCTGGTCAATATTTCAAAATCTTTTAGTCAATCGTTTTAAACACTCTAAACTATAGAGGCTAACAAATAACTGATTTCGATTCTTTCCAGAATTCATGTAGTACTAGTAAAGTCCTACAACTTGATGTGATCAGTTCTGAATGTTTTTGTTCGAAACGTACACTACGGTAGGCATGTTCTAGAAGTTTCATTATTTCATAGATCGATGTGCCTCGGTGTCTAGTTGCAACTAAAAACTGAAGCTCTTTATCTCCTGCCGTTCGAAGCGTACTAAAAAAACATCGCAGTTCGCTATATTTTGAAACAGGTACGAACAAGCTGGGAACCTATTGTTACAAAAAAAGCAGTTGAAATATGCTAAAAAGGGGTACCACAACATCACGGACTGATGTTATGAGGTCTAGTCTATTTCACAAATAAATAACTGAAAGGAGCTTATATTTACTTGATTCAAAAATCGGTGACATTTGCAATCGTGAACTGATACAAAAGACTAATTGGCCTTTTCTGGTAGGTGACACAAACTGAGCGATTGTCTTACTTCAAACTTCTTTCTGTTTTTGTTGTTTCTTTTTATAGAACAGTATAATTCAGAAAAGCAATAATAGACTGGTCGATTACGAAAGTTCAGAATATTTGCAAATCAGTCCATTATTGACACCGTTGTTGGATGCAGCCGCTAATGAATATTATCTATTTCATGGTTGCGACTACCAGATATTAAAGCATTTGTTATATAGTGGTTACGATCCTAGAGTATCAAATTTACATGGAATGTTGGGGGGTGGATTTTATTTGGCTGAAAATTCAAGTAAATGCAATCAATATATTCCATGCCCTGGGTGTGGTAAGAATTCAATACCTTCTGGTAGTGGGTGCAACTGTCCAGATCAGGAAGATCTTGTGTTTTCAATTATTCTCTATCGAGCAATATTGGGAGATGTACACATTGCAAAGATGTACGATAGAGCAAAATATTGTGGTGGGAGTATGGACCCAGTGCGTCGACCGCCGACGAAAGAAAACGGATGTGACTTGTACGATTCTGTATTGGGTGAAAGTATAAAACATGGTGGTAATAAACTAAGGCATCGCGAAGTTATTTTGTACGAATCCGGCCAAGCGTATGCAGAATATGTAATACAATTTAAACGATGGGCTGTAAATGCACGTATGTCTTCTAGTGCAAAATCTGTAGAAGATAAATGCGTTCAAAGTTAAAAGCCTAAATAGCGTTATACAGCGTAATAAAGACACACTATAAAATGCTAATGACCATAATAATATCCATATAAACTATAAAGTGTCATTTCGGTTATAATCACCTGAGTAGATTGTATCCTTCGTTTCTCTTTTCGAAAAAGAAAGACATGGTAACTTGGATGGCTTTGTCGAAATTTGCGAAATCCTTCAATGATCCATTGTTGTCGGAATTTATCATTCTACATGAAGGAAAAACGTTACTCTGCTTTCTCTATTCATTACGTTAAGGAATACGACTTTTCATATTTAATATACGTAATTTTGTGCGTGTGATATATAACGAGCCGTGCAGACGGATAGAAAAGTAATTTTTCCCTCGTTGTTTTTCCATAGTGGTGTAAATAATTTTCTGAAAAAACCTGCTAAGTATAGAGAGTGCGCGTCCTGTAGCGAAACTCAGAGTTGGGTGAAGTTTTGTTCTTCTCCTTATCATACATCTACAGAATGAGCGCAAAACAGCGCAAATAATTCTGGACCTGATCACGGGCTCTTCAGAAACCCTTGATTTTTGGGGTAAAATGTAGCTTTCTCATCTCACGAGTATTTCTATTAAAAAATAATGGCATATTTGGAATTAGCACCCAAAACTGCACTGAATCATATATAATTTGTTAGATTTCAGTCAAAGATGTCTCGATCTACTGAAACACTATGTTTTCAGCACAAGATCCGCAGCAATTTTTGGTAAGCACATAAATATGTGCTTGAAACACCTAAGAATAGTTGTAATCACTCGTTCTGTAGATTTTCTAACATGCCTTTTCCAATGAGATGACTTTTCAAGGTCTCCGAAAGTTTCCGTGATGATTTTTCAGGGACCGCGTCTCCGAAAAGCCTATATTAAGCCGTTCTGGAGCTTCTTTCAAGATCTCCTAAAAATGGTATATAGAATACTCTAAATATTCTACAATCTGAAGTTTAGAACTCATTCTAATGTTTGATGCCATTGAAATCTCGACCAGTTACTGTTTTCGTCGAAAAAATGGAATGTTGTAGGAAATAAACAGCAAAAGAAAGGAAAAAACGGTGGATTTTTCTCTTTGTGAGAAACGTGACTCATTGTCAAATTTCTCAGGTGTGGCTAAAAAAGAAAATTTTAACAAAAATTACAGAAATAGGTACATGGAGTAAGACTTTGAGAATAATGGAATGAATCATCATTTATAAGCAGGAAAAAACCGGGGAATTGATTGAGATTATTAGCTATAAAGCCTGACGTGCTGCAGAGACGTGCTGCACAGCAGTCGAACAACAATAACAGCAGGTAACGTTAAGGTTTCATGTTGACCTGATGTCTTACCCTTAGGTCTCAATATAAATTCTAACTTCCCGATAGTAAGGCGTTCAGTGTAAAATACGGAATGTTGAACACAACCTATCTCGAAATATAGGCCACTGCTGCTTCTGTGCTCCTTCCACCAGTTAATTTCACTCCACATAAGTCCGTGAGGCCGGGGTGGGTGATCCTTGAAATCTTCATTCGTTACCGACTAAATGAAAAGATTCGAGTGAGGGTGAGGGTGGGGGTACAAGAAAATTTAAGGGAATATGTTGACTTTGAAATGAGCGATTATTTCTTGTCCCGAAAAATTCCCATTCTCGCAGAATATTATCTAATGTGCTACTAGAATACCGTTCCGATAAAAGTGTGTTACATTATGTAGTGTTTTTTCGGGTATTTTACAATGAATCATTATTTATTTAGCAGTTTCTAATGGGTTATTCAGGATTCTTTTCCATCCTCGACTACCATTACTGATGATGTTGTTACCGTGTTTGGATTCACTTTAACTCTTTCTGATAATGATGGTGAGTTTATATAGTTTGTTTCATCCGTTACCGTTTCCATGTCAAATTTATAGTTTAGACGTAATTGATTTCTTAATTTCATTAAATACGAAATCAGGTGGAAAATTTGTCGGTACATACTGTATTACTAACGAAAAAAGAGCCGCTATTGATTTTGGTTTAATCACTTTAATATTTTTATTGAAAATTGATAATGGCCATTTGTTTGTCATACATAAATTATAGAGATCATTTCTATTGTTTACTCCTATTTGAGTTGTTTACCCGCATAGCTGACCAATGAAAATTTATTTATGTTAACACCATTCTTAATGAAATGTTTGTAAATTTCACTTCCTGCTATAACTGTTGAAGGTAATTCACGAGCCGGTAAACTATTATCGAACTGAGCATAAAAGCATGGTAGGTTGTGCGTTACCGCTCTTTTTAGCTGTTCGAATGGAATTGAATAGCCTTTGTTTATGTTGAGCGGTGGTTTCTAAGGAGGACGATATGATTGATTTTGATATGTCTGTGAAGATTGTTTTTCGGGTATCAATTTTTTTGATCACCAAACAGCTTTAGATACGTTTGATCACCAAATTTTTCAGCATGCATTTCACATTTTTATTTCTCAACAAAGTACAATGTACAACACAAACAAATTCATTGAGACTTTAACCAAACGAACAATATGTTTACAGTTTTATTTATATCCATTTAAAAAATTTAAAGTTGTGCTAAATTTCTTGGGACGCCCTTTTGCTTTTCGTCTGTCTAATGGTTGAATACGTGTTTTATCGCTAACTTGATACAAGTTAAATAAAATTGCTAATCCAACAGAATATTTACACGAATATACTAATAATAGTACAACAAGCGAACAGGATTGTTGCCACACCAGAAAACCATTGAATATAACCCACCGACGAGAAGGATAAATATCTAGCCAATAATACATTCAATAGTTTTCTAGTGTGACAACAATCCTGTTCGATTGTTGTACTATTATTAGTATATACGTGTAAACATTCTCTTGGATTAGCAATTTTATTTAACTTATATCAAGTTAGCGATAAAACTGATAAAAATGTGAAATGCATGCTGAAAAATTTGATGATCAAACGTATCCTTTTTTGGTGATCATTTGTATCTAAAGCTGTTTGATGATCAAAAGTATCTTTTTTTGGTGATCAAAAGTACATTTACTCTTGTTTTTCAATCAGTGCCCGCCGGTTATTATTCGATCCTTCGTAGAACTGGTCATAATTTTGTCCCTTACTGTTATTGTCCTTAAATCTCGACTTTTTCTGTTGACTAGATTGAAATGATTGATCATTTTCAAATTCTCTTTCATTCGTTTTTGTATTTGGAGTGGAAGTTCTGTGTTGTTCTATTTCAATGACTGGAGAATTTTGAACATTAAAACATTGTTGCATTCCATTATATAAAACATTTTTTGAATGGGCTACTACCAGATCCGTATACTATGCCTGTTGTACGTTTTCGTTATCATACGAATCCTGTCGAACATAATTATAATTACAGTTGTCATATACATTCTGACTATTTCCATTTTTGTTAACCATAATATTTCTTTGTCTATACTGATTGTAAGGATGAGTCATTTTTTACATATATTATTTGTTTTAACATATACGCCTTTCACTGCATAAGTGAAAGTGAAAGTGTAGATGAAATGTAGATTTCTTTTTTCTACACAACTGTGATCTGAATCGTTTCGACAATTGAATTTTGTGTGAATCTAAAACTTGATCAATTCCAGAATTTAACATTGTATCATATACAGTTTCTTTATCATTATTTTCATAATCTAAATTTCTTTTAATTGAATTATTGGTTTATATCTTTATTGTTTCTTATAATAAGGCCAGCGGCGAACCATTGTAGGCCATGCATAAGATAGATACATTTAAGTGATAAAGTGTAACAGGTGCACAGTGAAGAACAACGCGGACATTTGACGAAAAAACGAAAATGAGATTTTTTAGGATTCAAATAGTGCCTCATATACATCAGTTGATGGCTGATTTATTTGTGAAAAAAAATTGATCCAATTTTTTTAAGGTCATCTAGAAAAATAAGTCGCGACTTTTTAACGGTTTTGTGCTTTATTTATACAAAGTCGTTTTTTTAGCCGACCGAATCAAATCTTAAAAAAATGAAAGATATATATTCTTATAGGTAAGAAGTTGAGCTATCGACTCCTATAAAAAGGTTTTGTCTGAAACCTTTCTATGTCGAGAAAAAACTACTATATCTTACACTAAGCGCTTTTCCAGGACATGGTCGTAGGAAAGTCAACGCGCATATTAGCGCATAGCTTCAATCGAGCTGAAATCTTTATGATAAGTTTACCTACAGATGACACATCCACAATGTATGCTAAAAGATGCGAAAACTTTTCTTTGTAGAGTTATAGATTTTCCAAAAAGTCTGGATTTTCAGAGGTTTTTTAAATTTTTTCGTCTAATAAACCACTTACGCTCACAAATAAGAACAGCTTCCGAATCATCGTGAAAAACTGCATCTAAAGATGTGTGTTTGAGGTATTTCTGAATAAAAAATGTTTCGATTTAGTGTAATCTGACGGTTTCAGCGTATTGACATAGCAGTTTGGGCTAGGCACGTAGACTGTCTACGTGCCTAGCCCAAACTGCTATGTCGGTAAACATGTGCTAGAAAAACGGTATGAAAGTCTCTAAGCACTGTTTTTATAGGTTTTCGTATACGCTCTTTTCAATGACGCAATCGTCAAGCTTTCAAAGTAGGCTTGTACCGGTTTCCGAATCTCTGAAAAACCGTGGACTAATTTAAATTTTATCAATTTTTATTAACGTTCTACTAGCTAATCATCAAATCTGTTAGTTTGTTTAACGTAAAATACAACTACTTTTAAAACAATAGCAAGTGAATCGTGATCTAGATTCGGATCATTCAGCAATAGTGCGTCGACTGTAATCGTGGTTAGAAAATGTAGTTCGTGTTCCAGACTTTGTCTCTCATTGTGGTAGAGACTGTACTGCAGAAAGTAACGTTCAATATCCTCCTTTCCATTCCCACATTTACATTTAGGCGAGTCTACACACTTCCGTTTGTGCCGATAAAAGTTTAAAGGCGGAAAATCAGACTTTAATATCATAAAAAAGATTTCATCTTGTCTAGCAGGAAATTTTAGTCTTTAGTTGAATTATTTGTCTTTGATATTCATCTCTTAAAAAGTTTTTAATAGATGAATATCAAAGATATGAAAAATGAAAAAATAATTTTTCTCGAAGGTAGGTGTCATTCAGTACATGTTTTACTTATGAAGTTTCTCGAATAATTCACTACTTGAAACAAAAATATTAGTGTCATTAGGCAGCCCATATATCAAATTATATCTTACACTACTTGAATTTTGAAAAAGTGTACTTTTTGGTTTTTCGCTAAATGTCCGGCTGGACGTCTACTTGTGTGATGGATTTACAAATACATTTTAACGAGTTGTAAGGTGCACCGAATGCAAACATGGAGTGGAAAAGTTTTTTCGTTCGATTCATACATGATTCGGTAGAACTCATCGAGCTAATCAAGAATACGTGGTTTGCGATTTTGTCAGACCATGTTTTGGGTGAGAAAGTTTCAAAATACAAGCTGCCTGTTAAAAAACGAAAATTTGAGCGATATGGAGAAAATTCAAGAGTTTTTGGCACTTTAATCTAATTCCACGCTCCCGAAACTATTTTATTTGGATTTGGCATCAAAAACTGAGTACGACTATATAACTGCCGTCGAATTTCAGCGTTACTCTTTCGTTCAGCAAGCTCGAATAGACCGCCATTTTTTGGACTTTAGAGTTCTGTTGTGCATGAGAAATTTCAAAATCGGGTTCTGGCAACCGAGCCCTCTATCATCTACCTGGAATGAGAATTCTTACTCGTGGTAGATGTCTATTTTTGGCTCTGGTTGTGAGAAGGTTTTTACCCCAGGGGATCGTAAAATCAGTTAATTTTCTCAGTGAAAATATAACTGAAAAGTCTATGAAAAATTCGACCGTGTGTACACCGGATGTAAAAACAAATGTTTTCCTTCTTATTAATAGACGGCATAAAAATTCAGCTTTCAATGCAAAATCATTGAAAGTTTTTTAACTGAATTGAAACTAGTCTCTTGCAAGAGACTAGTTTCGATCTCATGAGATCGAAGTTATCAAGATATATCGCTTAACATATAACAACTGTTTTCCATTCTAGTCGTATACGCTGCAAATGTGTTCGGAGTTTTTTCCCTAAAAGCATGTTTTTTGAGAAAAATGAAAGCACCTGTCAAGGAAATTTTCTCTTTTGTCATTACTATGAATACCTAAATCTACTGATACACTCAATAGAAGTTCGAACGAAGATTTATTTTCAGCAATTTTTCCATGTAAATCGTACATTTGCTATGCATTTCACTCATATCTTGTTCGAACCGCTAATAAAGTATAGAACAAACATTATAAGAAGCTAATAAGTATTCCACACATTTCTGTTAGCATACATATATCTGATCCGGATTTGTATGAGATTTCTATTGGACTATGTAAAATTTCCTATAGAACGCATTTTAGCCATTCGTTGTCTTTAGTGTTTGGTAACGTACTGCAATTTTTGTTGCCTCATATATCTTAAGTTATTGACGTTAACGTGTTTTAAATCAAAAAACAACTTCCAATGTACAGACTAAAAGTAACTGTTTGTTTGTACTCATTAACTTACTTACCATTTCAATTGCACTTTTTATTCTATATTGTGCTTTTAAACGTACAAAACATATTCAGTTTGATACAGTTCAGTAAAAAATGGCAACTATCCTATACTTGAAAAGAAAAAAAAAACTCTCCCGTTGGTGATCATTTCTTTTTGGTCTATAGCGTGATTTCCAGAGATGTGTGTTCCTATCAAAATAATTCATGCTACTTGTTAGTGAAATACAGAAAAATGAGAGATATAGGATGTGTCCAAGATTCTTCCTTATGTATTTTCCGTACGGACTGAAGAGTGTCACTTGTGTTCGTGTTTTAAATATAAACTGAAATTATCGTCAGACGAGAAAAACTAAGTTTCTACTTTCTCAAAAATAAATCACAGTTTTACTAAAGATCTATAACTATCAATGATACTTCATTGGGCTGTGTCATATAATTTCCAAACGGATATTTGTCATTTCCTCCTCTTTTCCATAACCATTTTGCTGGGTTAATCGACGTCAATTCTCTTCCATTCAGTTTATTAATATAAATATGTTTCGTTGCCGGATGAGTCGTCTCAACAATTAAATTTTTGAAACCCATCTGGCGAGCATGCGTAATCAAGAGTTTTGGAAGCTTTGTTGCAATTCCTGTAGTAAGTAGAACAACCAATCAATTTTAAAGTCCCCCCTATCTATTTCACCTCACAAAACAATCCCAGTTCCGAATCCCTACAAATCAACAATTTATTACCAACGAATTACTAATACAAATAATTCTAACAGTGAAAGTCTCCGTTTGCGTGCTAAAATCACTCTTATCGACGGAAATACGAGATGCATCACTTTGTGGCGCATGATCGGTTGCGCATTCTTTTAAAATTTCAAGATTTTTCTCAGTAGTTCCGCCATGCAGCGATACCGATTTAGCTTGGCATGAAATATCAGTAGTAGAAGAATGTGATGGCTTAGCACGCAGAGAAGCATTTGAAACCCGTTGATCAGCAGAAACTACATCTGCTGTCAAAGCAATATCGATAGAAGCTGGCCTTAACGCCTGAGCTACATCTTTCTGCTGATGGATGCCTCGAATCAATGCGTGAGCCTGAATTTGTTGCGCACTTTTTATTGCTTTTTCTATGGTTTCTGCTTAAATCATCTGGGCTTTCTCCATTCTACTTATAGCTTCCATCATTAAGCCATTCATCGTTTCTATTACACCATTAGAAACGGAAAAATGTGATCCGGCTTTCGAAGCTGCAGTTCTCATCGATATACGGCGAGAAGAAACTGATACTACTGAAGGGATTAGTCGTGCTCTAGTTCTCTGTTTTGGTGATGTAACTGGTACATCGCGTTCTACATAAAGATGGATAAATCGCGAAATAAGCAAAAAGACATACACTTATATTATTCGAACCTAACTTAGAGTCCTTAGAAATAATATCGCTGTTATGTGGTCTAATGCAAGCTGGAGTTTTTCAGAAAACCTATAGAAGAACATGTCAGAAAATTCTGGGCGAAAATAAATCGATTTTCCTTTTCGATGGGGTATCGCCGGTAAACATCGGTTTCCCCAGTTTTCAAAAGGGTCAAAAAGAAAACGGAAGGAAAAGCCCTTAATTCGACGTGAACGAAACTGGAAATGTCTACAGATGTCGTTTTTTTCATGAAACATCGAACTGACTCATTTAAAAATTCCATAACGCGGTCAACAGAAGGTACGTAAGTCTAAAAATGTTTTCATAACCACAATTTGATATGTAGAATCCGAAGGAGAACATAAAAAGTGTATGTTAATTTTTTTCTTGTGACGACACTACTGCAGCATGCCTGATTCGCCCACGAATCGTCTGTTAAAACCGGACCTATAGGAGAGTACTGGCTCCATTCCTCGAGCTTACCGCGTCCAAAACAATCTGAATGAGTTGCTTCCAGTGACAATGATACTACAGATTTTTCTGTTAGTTTAGTGCCATGTACTCGCTCATATTCTTTTACAAAATGATCTTCTAATTCGCCTAGTAAATCGATAATTGGATTAAAATGCGCATCAGTTGTTGAAGAATGGTGCTGTTGTAGGTACAAATCTCGAGCTAGTAATACCCCCTGAATTTGATGCGTCCCTTTATGCCTGACAACAATGGATAAAGTTTCATCATTCAATGCATCATTGATCAATGTAGATGCATACGAAAAGAACTGATCATAAGTTGTTTTCAGATAAGCTTCGATCGGATTAAACTTTGTAAATGATTCGGCTAATAATTTGGCACATTCATCTAAGGGATGTTTGTCGTCTTGCATGATTTCATAAACATAAGTTTCATCTTCGTCAATCATCTGAGGCGGAGTTCGGTTAAAACGCCTAATGGTCACTCTCTGTTGCGGTGGGTTGAAGGTTCAAACGCGAGAAATCTGCTAACGCCATTTTAAAGAGCGATATCAAAAACGTATAGATACAATATTCTCCGTGTCATAAAGTGGCGCTACGTATGCAACGATCCGTGCTTCTATTGGGCGACCAGTAGCAAGAGATATGTGTCTAACAGACTCTTTTGCTTAGTTGCTTATTCTGTTCTCCAGCCAAGCACTAATTAAAAGAAATGTATGTGCTCCGATAGAAAAGGATCTGCTCTTTCGAATGATCACCTTGGTTTTAAGTATTATTGCTCCCATTCAGGAGAAATGGTTTCGTAAATCCACCTCATCTCTGATGTAGTTCCGGCACGAAAACAGGGAATAACTCTGTGTACACTTTACTTGATGCCTCCGGAAAAAAACAAGTAGATATTTGGATTGAGCACTTCGAGAGCTATCAACAATGTATTTTGTTTTGCATTTTAGTTGATTCTTAGGGGAGAAAACACTAGTGACGGAATTACATGTCAATATTTCAACGAAAAATACGCTCACGCGAATATCAATTTTTAAGCTGACTGTAATCATATACTTTTTTCCAAGAAAGATATTGTCCCGCAGACGGATATTTCACGCATAAGAACATATTGAATACATTTTTTTCAGGTAAAAGGCCTTCTTTTGTTTTGGCTTAGATCGGCTTGGACAGCTAATTGTCATTCTTAACTGCAGCAGTTTGCGCCATACTTTTTCTCTCAAATTAGCTTTAAAAGCTCATCATCACATACAAGTTTTTGTGCTGATTACAAATATCAACTTTAAAAAAACAATCGAAACTGAAATTTTTAAAAAAGGCTTCCGCACATCTAGTTTTAGCTGTTTAACTCGTACGAGTTTAAAAACTTGGTACTGTACTGTTCATGTCCATTCACTCTCATCGTGCCATCCCCTCTCCCTCCACTCGCGTCCTAATGAACATGTCTCCCTATACTATATTAGAACATAACACAGTTTTGAACTCCTAACATGTTTTCAAACTCCAGTACCAGTTCAAAACAGGCTCCTCAGCCTCTCCTGTACTATATTACAGCATAACACTCTTTGAACTCGCACGAGTTCAAAACAGCCTCCTCAGCCGAGTTTAAACTAGTTTAAAGACTGCCATCCGTGCTATTTTTGGAGCACCCTTACAAAAATCAAAAATATTTCTCTCAGCGTTTTTTTCGCTTGGTTGGATAGAACGTACTCGATTGCATCAGGTTCCATGCAAATCAGATTTATAGAGCTATTTTTACTGGTCGAATATAGCGATAAAATCCACTCCCTAGAAAAAATAGGTTTATTACAAAGGTTTCGTAGTCGAAGTACGAAATCCAAAACGGTTTCGAAATGGTTGCAGTGCTCCATACCCTTTTAGGTTTCGTAATAAACCTATTTTTTAGAGAGCACCGCAAAGGAGGGGAAAAGTGATGTAATTCCGTCCGGAGCCCTTTCGCTTGTTTCGTTCAATTTAAGCATTTGTAAGTGGAAGTAAATATATGATTCGAAAGCTCGTTTATCCGCTATAACTTTGGTAATAGACTGTTTTTCTGAACAGTCTCGTTTCAGAGCATTTTTCAAAATTTGTAGAGCGTTAGAAAAAAAAGCTAAGAAATGTAATTCCGTCACGGCATCTATTATGCTCAAAAAAACCGTTCCACAGAATCGATTCATTCCAAGTTTTATCACAAACCCAATCATTCTATCGCTCATATCTGCTAAAAATTTCATTAGCTTTCGTTAACCATTTGAAAAGAAGCAGAGCTTAGAAGTTGAAAAAATGTAATTTCTTCACGTGCGTTTAGACCGAGTTAAGTTTGACATTTGTAAAAAATTATTCAGAAAAGAGAGAAAAAACTCACATTATACTCAAAAATTCCATAGTCCTCTAAAAATCACAATAAATAAGTAACTTTACCTCGGAGGTTTTTTAGAGTATACGTACTCACCCCACCGATAAATGAAAAAAGTCATAATGCAGATAAGAACAAAGGCAAATATTATGGTAAAATAAGAAAGGAAAGGAATGAGAGAAAAAAGCGATGACATATGATTTTTATACGTAGTTTGAAATGTAAGTAAAAAATGAAATAATTTCAACCTTTAACTTCGAAGTAAGTACACAACAATTTGGAGGAAGGAACACAAATAGTTAAATCGTCCTTCGTTTTTTGTCACAAAAGTGAACTGTCTTTCTCATTAGTTTTGAAAGGTCTTTCTTCTCAGATAATATACCGAATCTAAGGTCCTTTCCCAGTTGTTTAGGTTCAGTTAAAGATATTGACTGTGCAAGATCTTCAAATAAAAATGCACAAAAATGAGAAATGCGTTAAATGGTCGATGTTTATCGTCACAATTGTGAGTTTCCTCGGTGTAAGATCGTTTTGCCGTTGGCGGCTTCCCGGATGTGACAACTATCAGTTTGGTCCTGTTTGATGCACAGAGGGTTGGGTACCAAGCTATACCTTCTCATTCGCAGGATGCTAGATTTTCTCTAGCAACGAACTGATATTAGCAATAATCCCCACGCATATACATTCTTTGAAGGTCCAAGCGTGAATGTTTTCGTCACATTCGGTAAACATTACCTTATCGATAAAAGTCACTGACGAACCTTAAAGAACATCACTCTTTCTCACTTTTATTTCGAGATCAAATTCCAGTCACATAACGAACAAAAACTGAGACATACAACTCGGAGTGAACTCAGTCAATCTCCTCGAACAAACATACCACACATCATCAAAAAATTACATTTAACAGTGTAACAAAAGATAACATGATGATTTTAAAGGGTAGAGTGAATATTAGAAAGTCAAAATTGCTGTGTACTCAGTTTGAACTGTCATGAGCTTTCCATTGAAAATGACTTCTTTTCCTTTGTAGATGAAGATTATGGCATGGTGAGAGTGCCAGATAGTCCTGAAAGCGATAGACTAAAAAATTGATTGCTTCATGTTCTCGAAGAAAGTCCGAGTAATGGTGTAATTAAGTCTAAAAACGAAGCTAGAGCTGTTTATAGAAAGCAGCAAGTTGAATAAGGAAACATTAGAATATCGAGTGCCCCTAAAAAAATCACAGCAGTTTTCTTGTCAGAATCAGATAAGAAGTTGATAAGGGCTTGATGAGCAGTTGCTAAGAAACTGATAAGATTGCAGAAACACTATGATGTGGTTTGGAAATATCATTCTCAGCAATTCGAATATCTTTTTAGAACCATGTTGCGATTTAGATAAACTTAGTTTTTTACGGTAACTACCACTCAAAAAAAGGCGAATTTAACCGTTCGGACGATCAGCGTTGCTATTCCTGTGATCAACTATGTTATCTAGACACATGCCGCTTCTCTGTTCATACACGTGCGTGCATTCAAATAAATCCTCACACGCTCTCGTCTTGTTCCACCGCCTGATACTATCTTTACAGCGAGATGACGACGGCTAAATTACATTGTGAATTCTCTCTCACTCACTCTTTTGCTGCCTTTCAGTTTATATTTTTTGATGAATGTGAGCGGATTAGTATATAAAAAGCTTTTTACGTTTCGTAGTGAGAGACACAAAAAGAGTAGTTTTGAACGACAACAGCAAAGCATCTAACATGGCTGAATTGTAGCAACTCAAGGTAATTTTTAACCATCATTTTAGTCTCATTGACACATGCTTTTCTCAGATGGACAGCTCGGAAAAGCCAACATCAAGACAATCAGAGGTGACCTCTGTTAGGGTACCCTTTGCGACGCAACAGCGTGAATCCACACATTCCAAAGATCGTTTAGACCCTTACGCATCCTCGTCATATACTGTGACGGCAACCAGTACCCCAACAGGCAAGATTTATAGAACAGAACTCGTCATCAACAAAGTCCCGACAACGGTAAGCAGCTCTAGGAGCGGATATTGATCTGTCAGAAACTAATAAAAATTCAAGTACAAATGCAAACAGAAGAAGTTCAGCGACTTCCACTACGAGCATAAAAAACTATAAAGAAAGACAAAAGGAACGGAATGCTGTTAGGACTGGAAGGTAGTACTTTCTAGTCCAAAGAAATCAATCTGATTTCTGGTATATGCTGCATCAGTTTCGAAAACTAAGTTGCTTCGTACCAGCATATTGCATGCTAAGAACCTCGGAAGAGCTGATTTTATTTTTGGATCACCACCTAGCAGATTGGATCCTCTTTATAGCGATTCGGAAAACTTTCTATTTCTTTCAACTGTAATTCTGGTTTGCCCCTGTAAGAATGAGAGTATGATAATCTGAAACAATGCCTTTTCGGAACAACTTGAGAGAAGAACAGTCGTTAGCGAGGGATCGAAATATGAAATCGACTTGTCCGAAAATCTGATTATATAAAATAACTCTCGTTCCAAAACTACTAATGCTTCAATCAGGAATAATTTGGGTCAATAAAAATGGTTACAGTGTTACTCCTACTTGTTAAGAGAACATCTAGTTAGTTCTAGAACTACTTCGGGTGAAGAACACAAATATTTCATAATCTATTTCAGATTTTTGACAACTCGATTATGTGGAACATTTTTGAGACACACTCTATTTGTAGTACACTGCTGATCAGTCCGCTTCTCGTTGTCATAAATGCAAACATTGGATCGATCCTAGCAATCTATCCGAAATCAGATTTAACAATCGATTATATCACGTCGACTGTTTTACCTGTGCCCTGTGCCACAGAAATCTGAAAGATTCTCAGAAAAATACGTTTATACTTCATGATGATGGAGAACCATTGTGCTCACAATGTGAACTAGCACATGCAAAAACGTGCTATGTCTGTGCAGAGTCTATTCTTACCGAAGGATCGATCAGTTTCGATGCAAAGAGTTATCACGCACACTGCTTTCGCTGTGGCCAATGTCAAAAACCACTGATTGATGAAAAAAATTTACATGTGCACAATTTGAAGCCCTGTTGTATCGAGT